ATTCTCAAGGGATTGAAAATGTATAAGATTGAAGATAAGATAATAAATAATGAGAAAATAAAATTTATATCTTCTTTACTATTTAAATCATGCTTTTTGTTGCTCAATCATGTTCTAAGTTGAATTAAAAGGAAGAAGAGAAAAAAGAAAAAACAAGCTCGTTTTTCTTTTCATTTAATGACATAAAACTTATTTTAAGCGATAAAAAAGAAAAAAAAAAAAAAAAAGAGAAAGTCTAAATAGAAAATGCGTGCGCATTTGGATGTTTCCTTTCTCTCTTTGTTTTTCTATCTCTTTTAGTCTCATCTTCAAACGAACTCTATCTTTTTTGCATATAAAAACATGCTCGATCTCTTTTTATTCCTATAAGTCTGATAGTCGTGACAATGAGACACGATTAGACGGCAAAAAACATTTGTTCACACTAAAACGCATTCATTTCATCTACACTCGTTCATCATCAACATACATACACACGCATACACATGTTCTTCACTTGCCGGAAATTCACTTGTTGTCGTTAATAGCCTTACCACTAACATTGAATGCTTTCATATGTTGTTTTCTCATCGTTTTTATCTCCTCCGGCTTGCATCACTGATGAACATTATCATTACACCGGACATATTTTTTTCTTTAACAAAAACATGATAATAAAAACGACAACAGCGACAATAACGGAAATAACCACTTGACAAAAAAAAACAGAAAAAAACTACGCAAATCTCTTTCGTGTCACCTTTCGTTTTTTCTTCTTCTTCTTCTTTTAATAACTAATATGGATATTCCATTATCATCATCTGATATTGAACAGAAATCAAAACGACCTTCAAATATCCTTCGTTTTCGTAATCGATGTCGACAAATGTTGGCTTCATCAAGACAACATAGTATTTTACGGTCGGTGTTTTTTCTCTATTCATTATTAATTTTTTTTTCTTTTTTCCATCATCTTCAATAATCAAGTCAATTTATATTTATATATATTTATATATAGATATAATATCTGAAGACTATCTCCGGAGATTGCTTTCAATCGATTGATGAGGAAAAAAAGTGAAATGAATGAACATTATCATTTAGACTATATCAATTTCGATAATAATAATTATTCTATGGAATCAATATAGGCAAATCTTCGAAAAAAGATAATATAAAATCTTTTATCATCATCTTATATTAAGCTTTGCACTTAACCCCCTTCATATGAGTACCCTTTTAAGAGACATTCTTCGCACTAAAATAACTAGTCATATTTCATTATTCTCATGTTAGTGGATAATGCAGTCATGTAGAAGTCAGAAAACGCTTATTTTATCACCGATAAGAAAAAAAAAGAAAAAACTTGTGAATGACAGATCGTTAGATATTTATACAAATTGTTATCAGTGTATCGTTGTTCGTTTGCTAGATTCTTTTTCTTTTTCTTCTTTTCTGAATTTCCAGAAGGTATTAGATAGGAAATATGTGCAAATGCTTATATCTCATTATAATCTTCGCAGATATTTTCATTCATAAAAAACTCTTTTTTTTTTACTAATTCAGTTGAATTTTTTTTCAATATATAAATAGAATTGTTAATGAAATTGTTATGATCGATGATAGAAATTGATCTTGTACAAGGATATAATATAATTTATTAGTAGAGTTAAATGATATGATATCCAACAATAAGTTAAACTTGATGACAAACAGGTTGAAACTATCAGTAGGATATATAATATATATGACATTTCATTTACAAAACTATTGATATTATTCTTCTTAGAAGTATCGACTAGTTAAGTACGCAATTAAAGAATACAAATAAGTTTCGCTCTTTGTTTTTTTTCTTTTTATTTTGATGATCAATCTTAGTTAGTATTGAAATCACGGACATCGTTTTTTTTTTTCTGTTTTTTGCTATGTGACATTACACTTGAATGGCATTATCATTTTGGTTCATTGAGAATGTTTGTTAGTTGATATAATTTGAGTTGTTACTACCTTCATTGAATTGACATTTTCTTTTCGTTGTTCTATTAATATAGCCTGAATAAACATCGAGAGAGAAAAAAAAAAAAAGTTTCGAGGAACCGAACGAGAGGTGGTAATGATGATGAATTGCACATAAAAACTTAATCATATATTTAAAAGAAGTTTCTTTTTTAGACGTCGGTTCCGCAAATCAACAACGTGTGATATATCATCTGACGAAGTTCTACCTGATGAAAATAGTCTCGACTCTTCTAAATCAACACCAATGAATCGAATGCGCCATGGCGGTACAAGACGATTTTCTCTTATTAAACTTGAATTACCAACGGGAGATTCTAATCCATCATCAACAGGTTAATAAAAATAATTTTATTCTATTTTGTTTTTTATTTATTTATTTATTTTATTTTAATAAAGATGATATCAAAGGTCAAATTCCATCTGCAAGTCCAAATCTCCTTCAAAAATTACTTTTTCGACAATTTAGTCCTAAAACTCGTCCTTGTTCAACAGGAATATCTGTAAGTTATTATAACAAATAAAAAAGAATTTTAATAAATTTTTTAAAAATTTTCTTTCAGTCTGATGATAATGTCTCTCAATCAAATGATACACTTCAGTAAGTTTACAAATAAAATAAGCAACTCGATATCAGAAAAAAAATTTACTCAAAAGTCATGTTTTTTTTTTGTCTATAAAAAAAAAACAATTTTTGAAGTAATTAGTCTACTCGAGAAAAGATTTTTATATTTTTATGCATTGTTTCACTTTTTTTTTTATTTATTCTTCTTCCGTTTTTCTATCATTTGTCTATGTCACGATAAGAGCATTTAAAATCAATTCATATTGAATTTAATTTATTAAGAATTTTTAACGTTAAAATGATTTAATAGTTTTCTAATAATTATTTATTAATCTTAGTAATTATGCTGGTGCTGGTCGACGAATAACAACACCAACAACACCAAAACATTCATGGTCAAATTCATCATCTTCAAATAATTGTAAACAAATTGTTGATACTAAAGAAAGTTTATTATTATCACCACCAAATACAATTTTATCAAAAAGTCAACAATCAGAATTAACATCTTATTTATCTCGACGACGAAATACAACTGGAAGTATTTCAATTAATAAAATTGTTGATTTAAAAAATACATCAAGTGGTAATACACTTAAATTAAGTGGAGCTTCTCCATTTGGTAGTTCAAGTAATAAAGTATCAACTGAAAGTAATGAAAAATAAATAATTCTTATTTATTTATTTATTTTTCTAATAAAATTTTAATTCTTTTTTTTTTAAAAAGATATTTTTCAAACTGTTGAAGATTCAGACTTATTTACAACAAGACAAATTTTACAAATTAATGAAAATCTTGTTAATTCGTAAGTTAAGATTGTCATTGCATTTATAATATAATATAGTCTTATAAATATTTTGAAAAACGGAAATTGAGATTAAGAAAATCGATTGCTTGTTTTTAACGGAAATTGATGACATTTTAACGTATTTTACATCACAAATCTGTCAGCCTAAATAACGGAAACTATCTCAATCGTTGTATTTACTTTTCTTAAAGAATTATTTTGAATATTTTATACCAAATAAAGAAAAATTAATATTCTGTTATATCCTATAGGTACAATGAATATGATTGGTGTCCATTAGATATAGCTATTATGTTAAATAATATTCCAATGATTCAACTTCTTGTTGAATATGGTGGTGAAGAAAGTTCTAAAAGTATGTCAAATTAATATTATAATAAATAATTAGCAAACGAGGTCATATTTTTGACATTTGTTTGATGATTATTTATAGTTCAACCTGAAGAATGTCGTTATCAAAGTGTTTGTCAACAATTAACAATACTTTCTCAACAAAATTCCGATGAAACTATAAAAAAATCCTCATCAAACAAATTAACAGCGGATGATGTTCAAGTATGTAATATCTATACTACGTAGGTGTTTATAATAAATGATTTTAGTTACGTCGTTCATCACCGTCAAACGACACTCAACAACGTCATCGTCGAATAAGTAAAGGCCAACAAGAACAACTACAAATACAACAACAACAACAGCAACAATTTTATCAACAACGTACATTAACTTTGACACAAATGAAAGATAATTACGAACAAGCAGGTGAGAACAAGAAGAAAAAAAAAAAAGAGAAACAAAATGAGAAAAATTATTGAACATAAAAAATAGAAAGGAGTACCACATCTGTTCAACTATTTTATATTTTCTCATTTCCGTTACATTTCTTTTTTTTTTATAACAATCAATATAAAATATAATAAGGCTATTTAATGATGGGACCCGACAGAAAATAGAAGAATAGAAATCAAAATGGTTCGTAATAATGACGCATTTTCCATTTTTTTTGTCTCTCTTTATCGCTTCTTCTTCTTCTTCTTCTTCTTCGCTCTCTCTCTCTCTCTCTCTCTCTCTCTCTTCGGTCATATATATGAGATTCTCGTTTAATTAGATTTCTTTCGTACTCGTTCTGTTTTTAGTTTTTCACCTTCTAGTCAGTTATATCTTATCAACATAATAGGATCCGTGACAAATGAAGCCAAAAAACACATCCTTTTGCGACGCACACGAATAGAGAGAAAGATAATCGTTAGAGGAAGCCAATTTCTTTTTTGCTTTTACTTACATATTCTCATGACTTAACTCAGTAACTAAAGCAGCATGACTACTTTTCATCAAGTTGAATATGATTATTTTCTTTTTCTTCTCACTAGATTATTTGTTTTTTTTCTCTTTTTCTCAAATTTTCTCTCACTTTGTGTTCATCGTTCTTCTTAATGTTGAAGAAAAACTATTGTCGAGGTATTTAAACACATCAGTATATCGTTTTTCGTATATTACTCTTTTGTGTGATCAACAGCGAAACACACAAAACTGAGTTCCGACATTCTATATATTATTCTACACGATTTTCATATAAGAGTGCAAGCTTTAATTGGAAACAAATATATTTTTATATAATATTTCATAAAAGAATGGATGGTAATAAAAAATTTCGTTCTCGTGCTTTAATTGTTAAAACTGCTCTTCGATTTATAATAAAATCTCGTCGAAAATCTTCACTTTCTGGTGAAAATATTCAATGTGAAAGCCTTTCATCGTCAGCATCTTCATTAAACTCACCAAATTTATCCAAAGATTTAATATATCATCAAGAAAAATATCAAAAACGTAAGTTATCAATGTCAAAAATAAGAAAGAAACTGTCATAAATCCATCGTATTGATTAATTACTTTGAAACTAATTTCCGTCTATAACCGAACTCTTTAGTCATTTGATGAATGTCCAATGATGAATGAATAATCTTCAACATAAGTGTTCTCATTTTATTTTTTTTGTTTTTTACTTTTCTAGGCATACCGGATGCTCCAACAAATGTTCGCTTGATGGTTACTGGCTCAAATAGTATCACCGTTACATATGATGAACCACATAGATCTAATGGAGCTATGGTTATTAAATATAAAAGTATGAAAAAGAAAACAATTTTATCTTGTTTTTCTTTTAATTTGATCATATTTTTTAAAATGTTTTGTTTATTATTGAAGTTGAATGGTGTACAAATGAAAATTTTGATGAAAATTCTTCATCTGATAGTATTGTACATAGTGATATTGTTAAAAATTGTTTTCTTCGTGAATATGTTATACGAGATTTACCTATTGGACAAAAATGTTATGTACGTGTATCAGCTGGAAATATACGTGGATTTGGTCCACCATCTATAGCTAATCCACCTTATTGTGTTCCATCAAGTGAGTTCAAATATTTTTAAAAACAAAAATTTTTTGTTTTTGTTTTTATTTTCAAATTTGTTTCAAATTTAATTATGAATTTGCTTTTGTTTTTTTCTTATTAAAAATAAATAAAATAGGCTGGCGTGAATTTTCAAAAACATCACGTCCAAATGTATGTGATTTACGTTTTGAAGAAATTCTTAATAAAATACGGCCGGAAAAAATTATTAATGAACGTGGAGCTATAGGTACAGCATTACCAAATTCTTGTTATACAAATAATGGAACTCTTGATGGAAACGGTAAGTATTCAGTGACTAGATTTGATATTTACACTGAATAGAAAATACAAAATTTATATCGAAGAAAAGAAGATTATATTACTAATAATATTTAATAAGATTTGATAGTATTTTTTCAAATAGTTTGTAGCAATGAAAAGAATAATTCATTCTAATTATCTCACCATCTATACATAAATACTTCTCATGATATTTTTCTTTTTATTTATTTGTCATTTCATTTGTTTTTGTGACCTATATTTTTCACCTACATTTCAATATTGGTACTAATAAAAGGAAATAGAACAGTTCCATTCTTTATTTTCACATATTAATTGAAAAGAAAAAAAGGATATTTATCATTAAAGTCATTTTAGAAGCTATATTTTTTTACAAGATGTTTCTTAATCCAATAGATAATTAAGAAGAAAAAAAAATGTCTCAACGGAAATGTAATTTTATTTTTGTAAAAAAAAAAACTTTAGAATCACCTGATATGTCAATGTCTGCAAATTCAATGAGAACTCGTCGTCGAAGTTACGGAAATCTTCGACGAAATCTTCGACAATTATTTCAACTTTATCCACGTTTAGCTAAAACAATGAAACGGTAAATATTTTTATATAAAAATAAAATTTAAAAAAATAAAACAAAATCTTTTTCCAGAGGTCTTTATTTAGTATCAGTTATGTTAAATGGTGAAAAAATCTTAGTAACAAGTGAAGATGTTCTACCAATGGTTGAAGTTGATGAAAACTATGGTCATAATTTATTAGGAGATTTTCAATGGTTTATGAAATTAACATTTGTTTGGGATGAGTTAAAAACGTTAAGACCTGATTTAGAACGATGTTCAAGTGCAACAACATTTTATCTTCGAATGAAACTTGTTCAAGCTGCTATTGAACTGCAAGTAAGACAACAACAACAAACAAAAAATATTTAAAGAGAAAAAACAAAAAATTTTCTTATAGACATTAGAAGAAATAAACAATCTTGGTCGTCTTCATCATACATATATTCGTGATAATGATGGAAATATAGCATTTATATTAATTAATGATTTATCATCAAATACTTCAACTGATACACGAACAAATATTTGTCCACCAAATTTAAAATGGATATCAATGGCAAAATTTTTTGAAACAATTAAAGAAACAGAATCATTAACAAATAATTCTTCCCTTCAACAAATCACCGATAAACTTCCGGTATGAAAATAATTCATTGAAAACAAAATGCTTTGTTTTTTTTCTAATAATTTTTATTTTAAAAAACTAACCTTAAAGGATATGATTGATTTTTATCATGCATCAATGCGTCGTCTTGATTCTGGTTTATATGTTGCTTATTTAAAAATGCAAAATAGTGTTGATTGTGTACGTGTTATGGTTAATAGATATATGCCCGGCTCATTACCTTGCACAAGAATTCGTTCTGTAGCTAATGTATCAAGGTTATTAAAAAGATTTTATTTTTTATTATTTAAAATTCTATTTAATTGATTTTTATAGAGAAGAATGGGAATGGCTACATAAAAATTCCGTTAATAATAATAATAATAATAATAATGATGATGATGATGAAACTCTAGCAGAAAATATATCCGATGAAACTGGTCTTTCACTTTTTAAGATACAATTTCAAGAAGCTGCTAGAGATTTGTGTCTGATGCTCAGTAAGTTTATTTATTTAAAATAAAATTTCATTTTTAAGAATTAATATTTTTCTATCAAAAACATTTTTAAAACGAAAGTTAATCGGTAACGTTTGAATTAGAGTACCGCTAACTGAGGGTACGCGTAAATTAGTAGTTACGGATACGGGTGTAAAAAGAAACGACTTTTGAAAATCCAGAATTCATTTTTAACAGTAGAATTCATAAAAAATTTGAAAATATGTATTTTAAATGATCTAGTTTAATAACGAAATTCTGAATAACATAGTTAAATGATCGTTATGTTAAACGGTCAGTGATGTGTGAGAGTAATGCAAGGCACAGATTCAGTACATGTATCTGTATCCGTACTCGGAATTATAGGTAGAATACGGATATGAAAAGCTTTACCTCTGCAGTACTCTAAATTGAATTTGTGAAACCTAAATAAAATCTGAATTGTCTTTTATTTGAAGTACAATTGAAGTATTTATCAATTAAATAAATGTGTTTATAAAAGTAAAAAACTTTTTAGATCTTCCAGAAACTCATTTTTCAAATAGTCGTGTATATGATGCTCAAGTAGTTGAAATTCGTGATGATCTTTCTCTAATAATATTAATGTCAACAGCTGATGAAGTAAATGTTCTTTCAACTCCATCAACTCATCGTCATTCAATTGCAAGTGATTGTTTAACACCATTTATGTATTTACCTGTATATATGTTTGAAGTTTGTAAGTTTTTAGTTTTATTTTTATTTGTGAAAGAAAAATCAAAAATATTAATTTAATTGTTTTGATTTTTGTATTTGTATTTATAGTGCAACATTTAAGTAATAATTATCGTTTTATATCTCAATATAGTCGTGTATCAATTTGTCTTGATTTTGAATTAATATGTGCTCAACAAAGTCAACGTGAAGCATTTTCAATAAATGAATTAGATGAATCACGTTATCGTCTTAATCATTTATTGTCATGTCAACAAGATTTAGATGATATATGGCGTTCATCACGTTGGCTTGTTGATGTTATTAATTGTGCAAAAGATAAATCTTATGCTGGTATATCACTTAAATCATGGTTAACATTTCAATCATCATCAAATATTCAATTAAAAATTATAACAACAGATTCTTCATCAACAAATTATGCATCTGATTCAGAATTACATACAGTTAAATTTTCAAATTCAACATTAACTTTACCAACAACAATAACATCAACATCATTATCATCATCATTTTTAAATGATACACAAATAATTAAAAATTATGATAGTGGTTTTATTGATAATGAAACAAATAATATTGATCGATATATAACAAATCGTACATCATCAACAATATCAACTGAATCAAATGATCCAATTGAATTAACATTTTACATTCCTATATTAACATCAAATACATTAATACCATTTAAATTACGTACAAATAAAACAACAACATCAAATGATTTATTAAAAATAGTTACAAAACAACAAAATATGTTATTAAAGTCAATTTCAACATTATCATCATCAGCATTATTTACTTTTGTTTGGATACGTTCAAATGGTCGTGAACAAATTATTGAAGATAATTTAACAGCTGGAGAAATTGAAAAACGTTTGATACGTTATGGTGGACAAATACATGTACGTTCAAAAGGTTTATCATTATCACGTTCTTCTCAACCACTTAGTCGAATATCATCACCACGTTTATCACCATCAACACAAACAACGTCTAATACAAATACTTCCAATAATAATTCAAATGTACCTGGATCGAATTTAAGTTTAAATATTTAAAAAAGATATTTATTTATTTTTTTGTTTTTGTTTTTTTTTCTTGTATTTGTGTCTATTTCTTTCCTTTGATCCCTTGTCGTTTTGTATTGACTGAGAAATACATGTCATGTGATATGATCTGAATTCGATAAAAAATATTTTATTGATATCAAAAGGACATTTTAGATTAAAATTAATCATTTATTGCAATGAATATATTAAATTATCAACAAAAGAAACGACTTCTAACGCATATGTGTAGTTTCATCCGTTAATATGATTATCAATAAAGAAAAAAGGAAAAAAAGAATGTTACATTATAGAATTACACACATATATATGCTCATCTTTTTCATGCAGATAAATGTTGTTCTAATTTTAGCAAAAAAGTCTATTTGTTCTATTAAATAAAAGATATTTCGTCTGGAAGAAATATTTTTTCTTATCTCCATTTTAATTGATGTTAAATGGATCGACATTTGAAATAATAATTTCGTAGTCTATATATCTGTTTAATGAATTTTTTATTATTGAAGATGTTAACGTAATTTTATTGATTTCTCAATGTATTTTTAACTATTATTTATATTATTTGTTATTGTATCTTGTCAGAATAGATTGAAAGAAAAACAAATCATTCGTGTTTGTAGATTGTTATTTGTTTTCTAATCTCACTGCATAAATATATCTATACTTATTCGTCATAAGAGATTTAGAAGTTATAGAATGTCTATAAAAAAAACATTTTTAAGCCTATTTAAGCTATTGAAAAATACTATAGAAGAATTTCGTGTAAATGTCACGATAATAAACATTTTATTAATAAAAGCTGACCTTTTTCTTCAGAATATTTATCATTATAGTACATTTCATTTATGAATGAGATCTTTGCATTTTTATAAATATTTATTTATTTAATTGAACTTTTCTGATAATTAAATGCTTAACATAAATATTGTTTCAGCTCTTTCGTATAGAAATTCAATTATGTTCGATCAATTTTTATATTTTTTTTTTCATTTTCATTAGATTACAATTGAACTATGTACAATTATTTTATTTTTTATTTATTATTAATTAAACAAAATTCCAAATAAATAATTTTTTTATTTAATAAAATAAAAATAAGTAGTTTAGTGTTCGTTCTTCCAAACATATTAAAAAAAATCGTTATAGATCTAAATTCGAATAAAAAGAAAAAAATGAAACTGATTATTGAATCTTATAAAGTCGTAGTTTATCTTTTATATTCATTCCAATCCATTCATTACCGATTAAACAAAGATTAAAAAGTCCATATGGTTTATCAATATGTGTTTTTGATTTAATTCGACCATTTTCATCAAGTAAAATAATTTGTTCAGATATTGAACAATTATTAATAACAATCCATAAACGATTATAAGACATAATTAAACAATTTCTCATTCCGGGTATGCCTTGGCCTAACGAACAACTCCGATGTATTCTATTGAGATTAGTGGAATTAAATAAATCAACTCTCCATTCACCATTTTTTTGTTTTATTGTCATAGCAAGAGTATTCCATTCATTAATACGTATGCATTGTGCGAGAAAATCTTTATGTTGAAGAAAATCTTTTTGTAACCATTGTTTTTCGAGTGTATTTGGTGAAAATAGTGAACGGCGTTCAATACGAGCTGGACGTGATGAATAAAGAAGATAAATTGAATTATTATCACTTGTTACCGATACAATCCATTCACCGCGAACTAATTTTATTCCTTCAATAGTTGATAATATGCATGATCGAGGATTGAATGTATAAAGAGAATAACCAGCCATAAGAAACATATTTAATTTTGATGACCAACAAAGATCATTAACAAGAACTAATGCATCACTTAAATCAATTCGATATAATTCACAATCTTTATTAAATAATATAAGTGTTGAACATTCATTTACTAATGTTAGAATATAATATGATGAAGAAGCTAAAGGTAAACCAATACCATTTAATGAAAATTCTTTTGTTGGTGAACGTTGAAGAACAGTTGTTGGTAATGGTGCATGTAAAATTAATTTTCTTATTTCATGATATGAATCTGCAGATATTCCGTTTCGTCTTCTAGGTAAAGATGGTGTATTTGAAAAATAATGACGATTATCAAGACGTTCAAATGATATTGATTGAATAGCAGATGTTAAACAACGAGGCAAAGATCGAAATTTAAACTTATTACGCTTAAAAACATCCATTCGAAATATTTCAAGTCCAAAAAACAAATGATTTTAACCGAAAAGAAAATGAATATGTATATGTTCGAAAACAGAGATAAAAAAGAAGAATAAAAAATGTGCATACCACATACTACATATGTCCAATACAAAATAAGTACGGAATATATATTGGCATTGATTTGACTTGAATAAACAAAAAATGTCTTTAATGCTTGGCGTTTTTTTTTCTTCTTAGATAAAACTTTTTCATAATGTTGAGAATTTTTCTTTATCATTGTTTATATTTTGATAAAAATAAAAATTTGTTTTTCATTGCTTAGTTTTATATGCTTAATTATTTATCTTTTAAATCTATATTAAGTCTTAGAATCACTTTAGATTATTCATTTTATCAATTTTTGATAATGATTTTACCATTTATTTTCCCGCTTCAATATATTAAATATTATCATTTGAGGCGAGTTTTCTATTGTTTTTATGTATGAAAATTTACAATTTAGCTTCGAATATTTTCTGTTTTTCTTTTTTTAATAATTGTTTGTACTTGAAAGTAATCTAAAACATACATAGTTAATGATAACCACATAAGATGAAGGAATCTTTGTTTGAAATCTAATGAACATTTGTAATCTTTCATGAAATCTATATAAAGATTTTAACCATTGTAAAAACTCTTACATCGACTGTTATTTATGACATATAACATATAACATATAACATTAGACAACGTTGTATTTATAGAATATGCAATATAATTAAAGAAATCTGAGAATTACACTATCATATCCCCTTGCTTCACGGTGAAGCAATGTTTGTCCACAACAAGATTGAAGAGTTTTCTTTATCTTTTGAGAATCCTATTTTTCTTGTTTTTTTTTCAAGAACATAACTAAATCTATAAAAACGACTTATTATTATTTTTTCTTTCTATTTTGAAATAGTTGAGATTAATTGTCTGTATTTCATTTGATGCCAAGAAAATGAAATTGTAATTATGATGTATGTTCACGATAAAAAGTATAGTCTTTATATGCTCATAAGCAACATTGTTATGTCATATACGACCTTCATTCTTTAATCTGTTTGTTTACAAAATTTCAAAACAACGCCTTGGAAAACATTATTGTCGTAAGACGTAGCACATCGGCGGGTATTAATATGACATTATGTTTTAGTTCACTGCACAGCTTTTATATAATACTTGAATCCAATAAACTTTAACACATCTTCATGGACTTTTTATCCGTGTTATTTATAAAAATGTAGCATCATATTTTTGAAATGATTTATCTGATTATTGTCATCAATTATCATTTGCTATTTGAGAGTATTGTTGTTCGATACATTATTCAATTAAGAAAAAAATTTCAAATATATTGCATTATGCACTACATGTTATAATAATATTATCAAGTAAAACTTAAAATTATTCTTAGTGTAATTTTTCTTAAAGATAATGATTGGTTTCATCGAATTGTTTATTTTGTACAAAGCAAAGCATTTGATTCAATAAGTAACAAATGGTACAATTCAAAAAAAAAAGTTAAGCTCTTCGACTTAGAATTTGAGAATTTTCCAGTAAAACCTATTCTCATATCAATATTTATAGAATATTTTTAATTAAAAATAAAATACGTATCATATTTTTTTTATTTTTTCATCAGAGATCATCCATAAAGGATGTTTAGGGAAAAGTAAAAACGAGAAGGAGTCAGTTAAGACCGGATAAAGAGAAAGGAGGAGTAAAAAAAAATGCAATTTTTTTCTGAATGCCTTTTTATAAATACTGTCTAATGATCATGAGTAAAACTATTTTCCTTGATTGAAAGATTCATTAAAAACAATTTCAAGCTCGATGTCTTTAGTAGCATATCCGATCGAAATTGTATGAGCATAAAACCTTCTCTTTTCACGATAAAATTAATTCATATTTTAATAAATTCACAATTACATTTTTTTTTTAATTAAAAATATTGCAGAAAAAATATAAATTAATCACAAAAACCTATTTAAAAATGCAGAAAAGAAAATTAGAATTAAATAATCATATATCCCATTCGTATTGGTTAATATTGTCATTTTCTATTATCATATAATCGTTTATACTTGGTAAGTGCTTTATTTATTTCTTCATCGGATGGTTCTTTTAAACTTCGTCTAAAACAATAATAAATATAATTGTTTACATTATTAAATAATAAGATTTTTTTTTACTTAAATAAATGAAAAAGTGTTTTAACAAAATATGTATTTGCTAAACCATTTTGTCCTTGAGCAAATCCACTTTCTTCAAAACGAGCAACATTCAATGCAAATAACTTTACAAATAAGATAATAATATATAAAAAAAAAAAAAGCAAAAATAAAAATTAACTAAACATACTTCAACAATAAAACCAAGTACAAGTGCTAATATATAAACATTCGACAAAAACCACCAACTAACAAGATATAATTGACTCCATCTAAATATAATTAACAGAAATTTTCTTTATTGAAAATAAATTAAATTAACCTTGTAGAAAATTCTCTAAGAGCATTTAAAAATACTCCCCAGTTATTAACTAACATAACATCATATAAAATGACCACAGTCGACTAGAAAAAATAAAATAGATTTTTAACAATTGATTTTTATTTTTAATAATACTAATAACTTACAAAAAAATCATCAAAATTATTAGCCCAATAATTGCTTTGTTGATATGATCCACATGTTGCATTTCTAAAGAATTTTGAATTGAAAAAAAATAACTTCTTTTCTCTTTCTAATTTATCAACTTACTTTGAATCGTATCCTGGTGGTACTTTAATAACTCCACGAAAAAGCCACATGCCTAACACAGCATATCCATAAAACAAACACTATATATATAAACAGAAATAGAAATCAAACAAATATTTATTTATTTATATTTTAGTTTTGTTAAATATCAAAATAAATAACATACAATAAGAATTCCAATAAATGCTTTTAAATTTCTCATTCCATCACTAATTGTTCCCATAATAATTCCATAATTAGTAAAATGAGGCATTGAACGAATTATTCGAAAAACAACAAATAAATTGATAATACGTGTTATTGCCCAAAGTGATCTTGCTGTCCCACGATCATCATTATCTCGGTCACTTTAAAATAAAATATATATAAAAAAAAAAACAATAATTTATTTTTTTTAAAAATCTATTTGATTTACAATTGTGTAATACTTAATGCTCCATAAATTGACCAATGAACTATATGAAGAACCTATTTTATATTTAAATTATTCTAAATAACTGTTGATTTTTTTTTTCTTCAAAATAAATATATTTACCAATAAAGAAAGAGCTAAGATAGTATCAAATGTATTGAATACATATTTAAAAAATATTTTTGGACGAAGAGACCAAAGTTTAAGAATTGTTTCAAGAAAATAATAAATACAAAATGAAAATAAAATATTCTAAAGAAAAAAAGAAAAACGAACCAAAGAATTATTCAAAATAAAATTCTTTTTATTTTCAATTATACCGATAAAATGGTATCAATTGTATCGAATTTTGGATGATATCGAAGACCACCTTCAATCTAAATATTTATATTAAAATTTTATAAAATATTATCTTTTTTATTTTTATTTTCTATACATACAACTAAAATAATAAAATTAATTAAACCAATTGCATTTCCAAACCATGTTAAATATTTCGAAGCACCAATAAGTTGTACTAATGTCCATATACCAGAATATTCATGATGTTCAACAACCTAAAAATAAAATATATCATTAATTAAATTCTATTTTTTCGTTATTATTAAATTTACCTGTTTTGGATGATCAGCATCAAGTGATAACATAGCTGTTGAAAACATATCCCAAGTAACTTGACTATTTTGTTGATTATTACGTGTTAATATCTATTTTATAAATATAAATCAATTTCGATTTTTTTAAATTATTAAATCATACATCAAGTAATGCACGTCTATGAAGTTCAGGTAAATTTGTACCAGATATAACACGTGTTACTACTAACATAGGAATTGTTAATCGGGATCTAAAATAAAATTGTTATTTAAACGAAAATAATTTAAAAGAAACAAACGATTGACGAGTAACAAGTGAACTTGTTATATCATCTGTTGTTCGTGATGATGGAGCAACTTCACTTTCAAGTAATACATCAAAACAAGCACGAATTGCTAAACGACGACGAAATAAAGAATTTTGCATTGATGTCTAATTAATATATATAAATTAATATTATTTTAAACAAATTTTTTGTTCTATTTTTCTTACAGTAAAAAATTCTTTAAATGTATTCATTTTAATAACAGTAAATAATGTCATTAAACAATAAAGACCTTTGTAAAAATCATATTCATATTTATATATATTTATACAGTACTGCTCAAAATGAAATATTGTGAACGTTTTCCTTTGATGCTAAGTGCTTAACTCAAATCGAAATAGTGATTTCGATAGTCAATAAAGTTCTCTATTAGATGCGCCTTGCGTCAACATTTCATAGTTGGATTATGATGAAAATTTTTCTAAAAAATCGCACATGATACTCATCAAGTGAAAGGAAGCATTGTAAGAATTTGTTTTTAAAAGTTTTCTTTGCAGAGTTACAAGCATCACGTAAAACAAAAAAATACATTTTTCAGCTATTTTTTGGTAAATTTTGCTTTTTGTCGCATTTTCTAATGCTGATAACTCTGTAAGTGAAGACCATGATGAGCTTGTTGACTCCTTGTATGATTAAAAATTTCCTGATGTTTTAGATGGTAATGTTATAAAAACGAATTTCTACAACGTTTTTTCTCATTCGCTAACTATCATATCCAGACTTTTAGAAAACTTTCTTCTATAGTTCAACTACGAAATCTTGATATAAGGCATAGTTGACAGAGAACTTTGTTGACTATCGAAATCATTATTTAGATACTCGACATCACAACCAAAGTTGACAATACTTCGTTGTTATCATTTCGAGCAGTACTATATATTAAATGAAAATTTTACCAATAGTAAGAAAAATAGCAAAATAAATGATATATAATCGATTTTTTGAATAAGCTGGTAATGTTACTAAATATTCAATATAAATAAGAAAAATAAATAAATAAATTTAATTGAAATTATTTTTACCATCTGGATTATTTGCAGTTGTTAAAAGAACAATTAAATTAATTAATGCATCAGGAAAATCTGGAAAATATTTTGTTCCTTCATCGATTCGATCATCTGTTGAATGGTTTAACTTTAAAACAATTAATTTCATTTATCAATTTTGAAAAATAAAATCAGATAATGAATAAACTGAAAGTTTTGCAACAAAATTTTTCTTCACTTTTCAACTAATTACTATGATCAACAAAAGGTTAAAATCAGAAATTTGTGCTCTGTTCAGATCCAGTTTCACATTTTTCATTAGACTCATATTTTTGGGATTATAAGCAAATCTTTCAAAGACATAAAAATAAAATTTGAACGAAGACAGTTACAACTAAAAGGCTCATAGATAGACAATGCGATTGTATGTGTCTCATTTGAAATTATTTCCATGATGCTTTTCAGTAATTTCGCTTGATTGCATCATCTTCTGGAACTTTTTTTGAATTAGTACCTAGAGAATAGATGTTCTTCTCAGCAAATGATGTCAGCCTTTGCAAATGTTCTAATAATGATCTTTCCGCAATGCATAACAAATGAGACAATGCTCTACAGAATGCATTAAGAAACAAGATTTTTGAAACAATCATCCAGAAATTAGCAAATGTATTTTGGAAATCCGAAAATATCACTATGCCTCTTGTCGAAACTTTCATTGTTAGTTGATGCCTTACGGAAAACTAATTATTAAGATATAATTTCATAGAAAAATATTTACTCTTTCTTTTCATGTATTTGAAATAAATTTTACTTCTATCTTGTACGGTGTTTTTTTGCACTCTGAAACTCGTCGTTCGAACTTTATTTTCAAGTCTTCCACAGATTCGTTCATAACTTCTAAAATCTGAGTCTAAATGAATTTCCGAATCTGTCTACCGACGACAAAAATGCTTTTTAAGTAATCGTATTCTTAGTACAAAAATATACAGTTTATGGTTCAAACAAATGTTATGTCGATATGTGAGATTATTACATAAGTAGATGTTTATAATATAAATAATAACTTGATAGGACGTCTAAAATTTGTTAACACATTCTTGAATAGTACTTGTTAAGAGTTCATTCCATATTTCATTGGCCGCATTGGTTAGTTCATGTTGTGACTTATGGATTCCTCTGTGAAATTTTGTGTTCGACAAGATTCTATACTAGCTCAGTAATGTTAAAATAAGAACTATAACGAAGTCATCGACGTAATTCAGTATTCTATAGTTAAATAGAAAATGTGGTCGACGAAGTATGGAATCACCTATTAACACATATTATTCAAGAATGTATTAAAAATACTCAAACAGCCTATTAACATTTTGCATTTTTCTACTAAGTTTTTAGCTCTATTATAAGTGTATATTTTTATACTATTTATGTCTAACAAAATAAATTTGTTCTAACTATGAGGAATATATTTTATATCAAAAACAAGATTTGAAAAAATTTTTTAGTTGATAGGATATTCTAAAAGAGCACAAAATTTTAATTTTTAAATCTCAAAATATTCGGTCTATCCATTATAAAAACAGATCAAATACCTTCGCAGGTGGAAATAAAATCATTCCAATAACAGAAAAAAAATAAATATGAATTGCAAGAAGAAGTGTTACACTGTTAAAAACAAAACAAAACAAATTGTTAAAAAATAAAAAAATAAAAAAAAAAAAATGTTCAATACCTAAGAATTTGTAAAAATGATTTTCGTAAACTATTAAAAACTTTTTTCATTTCTTGCGATATAAATGCCATATAAAAAGGTCGAAGTAAATATCGAATATTAATTGTCTAGATAAAAATAAAATGATAATTTAAATAAACAAAAAAGTGACAAACATATTTTTTTAATAAGAATTTCTTTTGACAACCAAACTTAGTAGAAATAATAGAGCTAAAAAATTCGTAGAAA